CAGGTTATTTTCAGGGGGAAGCAATCAGATGTAGATATATCATTCTTAATTTTGTATATTTCTATCATATAACGATAAGCAAAAAAATGCATTCTTTTGCCAATGCAACACGGCCTTTCTTTCGTTTTCCGTCGGGTTTAGGTTTCGTCTTTCCCCATTTATATAAAAAGGTTTTGGCGAACAGTTATATAACACAACAAGGTTTACCGAGCAAAACTCATATTCTACACCTTTATCGTTCTCTCTTACGAGCAAGTAAAACCTTTTCAAATTACAATTTTAGTGCTTATGCATACCGACGAACAAAGGATTCATTCCATGAGCATAAAAATGAAACTAGACCGGATAAAATTGCAGAACTTGTTAAAAAGGCTGAACAAGAATTAGCAGTTTTGCAAAGACAGGGATATTTAAATAGTCTTTATGCCGTCGACAAATTGGTAGTAGAACAGATGAAAAAGAATTCTTAACGTACAATTTTATCCTAGACCGGGTAGCCTGAAATATGAATTAATTAGTGCCTAGCATTTTTTTTTTAAATTTGTTTTATATAAAAATTTTTTAAATAAAAAATAAAAGAAAAATTACTATTTCTACCATGGTCGTGGTTTCGAACAATGTAAATAGAGGTTATTTTAGCTTCAATATAAATTTTAATTTTTTAATATATAAGTTTTTTTGTTGGTTTTTTTTTATTTTAAATATAGTTTACTACAAACTTATTAATTTTTATATTTTGTTATTATATTATATATTTTTAAATATAATTATATTGTTTGTAAATAAAAAAAAATTTTACTAATTTTTAATTAGTTTTTAAAGAACTATTTAAAGAACTACAGTATTTAAAAATATAAAGTTTATTGATATATAGTAATTTATGTATATAAATTAATTTCTATATGTAGTATATTATTTAATATAGAAGCTTTAAAGTTATAGCTTTTAAGATTAAAAAATTAAATAAATACATACTGTATATAGAATATAAAAAATATGTACAGAGCCTTTTATTTTACTTTTTTTTAATTTTAGATTGACAAAAATAATTTATATTAATTAGGTTTCCTCTGATTTACTTTAACTAATCAATTAATTTGTAATAATTGTTACAGATTAAAATAAAATTAGATTAAAATGAAATTGGAAACCTTTCTTGCTTATTCTTAAAGCTTATAAAACTATATATACTCTTTTATTAATAACTCTAACCCTAAACCTGACCCTTAATGCTAAAAAAAACTCCAAAAAATGTTTTCTAAAAATTTTAAATTTTTTAAAAATTAAAAAAATTTCGGTTTAATCTAATTTCATTTTAATCTGTTATAACAATTCATAATTATATTATATAAAAAATTAGAAGATATAATATCATATTGGGTATTTGTTAATAGTAGCACAAATGTAGTCTTGAATTTAAATGTAAAATTCTTTTCTATTTATTAAATTAAATTTTAACTATCCCTTAAACTATATTCCAGACAAATTTGCCTGAAAAATTTAATTGTATTAGTATTTTTTAAATAGGAAATTTCTAATTTTCACCGGAAGGAAATCTCCAATTACATAATCTGCATATTGGCCAATCATATTGCAAGATCGATTTTATACATAATTTATTATTTTTTTATTATAAAATATTTAATTTATTAATTTATTAATTATTTACATAATACATATACATCAAACTTTATACTTAACGATAAATCCACCATACCCTAATATTACTACTAACTCTATCTATTATTTCTACCTTATTCTCTAGCTTATTTTTATTTAACTATCATTTTGTTACAAAAAATCTGCCATATTTCTATATCAAGAAAATTTACCATTAAGACTAAATAAAATGCCAGAAGAACACTAGTATAAGAAAAAAATACTAGGCACAAAAAAATAAATGCAAAATATATCACCAATACACGCTGGAGCAATTTTTCAATATGTGCAAGGTGTGTAATGCCGATTTCCTGAGCTACAAATCAGATTCAAGATCAGGAGAAACATAATATGATCAAAAAAATATCTGTTTTGTCAAAAGTCGCTTACCCTCAAAGATCAGTACAGGAAATCACCTTTAATATATAATATGATCAAGAAAATTCAAAACAAAACATCTGTTTTGTTAAAAATCACTTATCTTTCAAAAATCAGCATAAGAAATACTCTAATAAAAGTTTTATAGAGCAATTTTACTATGTAAACTACTCTTTCTAATTCCCAACTCTGACCCTAACTATAGCATAAACGAACTTTAAAGAATTTTTGCTGTGCCTCTACTAATTAGATTTCAAGATCAAGTGAAACATAACATGATTAAAAAAATTCAAAACAAATATCAGTTTTGTCAAAACTCACTTATCTTTCAAAAATCAGCATAAGAAATGCTCTAATAAAAAGTTTTGTCGAGCAATTTTACTATGAAACTCTTCCCTCTGATTTCCAACTCTGACTCTAACTCTAACATAAACGAACTTTACTATACTACTACGAATCGAATTTCAAGATCAATCAAAACATAATACAATCAAGAACATTCAAAACAAATATTCATTTAGTCAAAAATTGCTTGCCTTTCAAAAATCAACATAAGAAATGCTCAAATAAAAAGTTTTGTAAAGCAATTTTACTATGTAAACTACTTCTCTCTGATTTCTAACTCTGACACTAACTCTAACATAAACGAACTTTAAAGAATTTTTGCTATCGTTATATGATAGAAATATACAAAATTAAGAATGATATATCTACATCTGATTGCTTCCCCCTGAAAATAACCTG